CCCAGCCCCGCGCCCCCGCCCCCATCCTGGAGAGCTGCCACGCACCAGCCCTCCTGCCCAGTCTGGTGTGGGGAGGGCATGACCTCCACGAGGCCGGGCAGGCAAAGCTTACGGCCAGCCCTGAAAGGTCACACATGGGCTACCGGCTGGCAGTCAGACCCGTCAAAGTGGGGGGTCGTAAGGTCCGTGGGCCCCGTGGGCTCACAGCGGCTGCGTGGGGGCTGCAGAGAGACAGGCTTTGGCTCCGCACGTGTGGACAGACCAGGGGAGGTGGAGGGGGCAGCCCTGGGTGGCGGTGAGCCGCTCATCTCAGGACGTGTGGGAGGCAGTCCTGGAGGGCTGCTCGGTGGTGGTGCTGCGGGCGGCGAGGCGGGATAGCAAAAGCCCAGCACAGCGGCCAGCCGTGCCGCGTGCCTCTCCGTGCCTTTACCCCGCGCCTGCCGTCCGAAGCGGGCAGGGAGGAAAGCTGGAGAGTGGCCACAGCGCCACCCATGGCCGCCTGGCTAACGAACTTTCTGCCATGGCGAATGCTCTCTCCGGCCGTCCCAGACAGCCGCCACTAGTGACACGTGGCCACCAGGTGCTTGGAATGTGGCTGGTGTGACCGAGGATCTAAGCTTTGACTTTATCCAACTTTAATGAACTTAAGCGTAAATGCAAATAGCCATGTGTGGCCCGCGTGGGACACGGGACACTGTAGGACGTCTGCTTCTGGCCTCCCATGTCCCTACATCGCAAAGCTAGTGGTGAAGTTTGCATGATCTGGTGCCGAGCGCCACCCCATGGCACAGAGGACAGAGTGTGGACTCTGGGGAGGCAGTGGCAGCAGCGGGGTCATCAGCGCCTGCCCAGCACAGCTGGCGGAGGATGGAATGACCCACCAAACCGCTAGCGAGCACTTCCCGTGTGCAGGGCTCATGCTGGGACACCGAGATGGGGGGGCACAGAGGTGCATCTGGGCTGGCCTCTGGTGAGCCCAGGGTTCCGGTTCTGCTGCTTTTGCTGGCTGTGTATGGGGCTGAGAGCCTGGGGCTGGCTCTGGGGTGGAGGTTCCGTCTCCCCCACGGCCGCCGTGTGGCTGCAGGGGGTCCGCGGGCAGCACCGCGTAGGCAGACGGGAGCCGTCTTCATGTGCAGAGGCAGGAAACGGGCAGGGCAGGGCAGGGACGCAGAAGAGAGAAGCCACACTCTCCGCGGGCCAAGGCCGCCACCCCTGGGAAAGCCCGTGGACTTGGCTTGAAAGAGATTATTTTGGGCAACTCCGCCACCAAATTGCTGGGTCCGTCTGCTAGCTTCCTCCTCGAAAACCATTTTGAGCAGAAACAAAACCACAGGGCAAGTGAGACACTTGGGAAAAGCATTAACTGCTACGGTCCCTCCAGGACCCGCCTGCAGGGGTCCGTGCAGAGACCCCAGGGAGCAGGCTGGGCGGGGGGTGACCAGGGCCGTCCACTGGGGCAGGAGGGCCAGCTGGCCGTGGATCGCGCTGGAAAACATCTGTCCCCCAGACCTGGGGGTCCAGGAGTTTCTCCTAAGGAAGCTTTTGAAAGTGTGGGTGAAGCTTCCTACCCCCAACCTCCCCCCCATGCTCACTATCCCGTGGGAACGTGGAGACGGCAGCCCGCCCTCGGCGTCCTGGGCGGTGGGAAGGCAGGCAGCGGAGCCTCCCAGAGCTGCTCTTGCCTGACTGGGGCCGCTGACCCTGTTCCCGCCTGGACGCTGAGTAACGGGCGGATGGAGACCTGCCCGGGAACAGGTGCCCGCAGGCGGCTTTGCTTTGGTTGAGGGCTCTGTAGGCCCGTCTTTTACTTCATGCTCTGCTGTTCAGTACTTTATAAAATTTCCGAAGTAGCTACGTATCGCTTTAATTCATAAGCACGTTAGGAACTGCGTCGCTTTGTACATCTGTTGGGTGCCATTATCAGCTGTCGATACTAAGTATTGTAGAGGGATTTTTACTTTAAAACAGACACAGTGGGTGGGGAGCCATCACAGGGGACCCCATGGGCCCCGGCCCCCCAGTTGCCGCTGTGTGGTGGGGTGGGGGCCGAGGGCACCGGAGCCAGCAGGGTCCCAGGCGGTCACAGGGGAGGCCGGCGTGGGCAGGCAGCAGCCATCGGTGGGTGGGCGGCGGCAGGCCTGAGCCTGACCCCGGGGCCCGCGTCTCCCCCAGGGGGCCTGGACGCAGAGGAGGCGCCGCCCTCGGGCCTGCCGCCAACTTTCCTTCACTTCACGCACCACTCCTACGCCCAGATGGTGCGCGTGCTCAAGCGGACGGCAGCCCGCTGCGCGCACATCGCCAAGACCTACAGCATCGGGCGCAGCTTCGACGGCAGGGAGCTGCTGGTCATCGAGTTCTCGGGCCGCCCTGGCCAGCACGAGCTGAGTAAGCCGCCACTGCTGTCACGCTCAGGAGAGGCCTGGCCTGGGAGCCAGCTTCCGGGATGGGGTCTGGGCCCGTGGGCCTGGGGCCAGAAAGCCGGGGTCTGGGATCCTCATCAAAGGCCTCAGTGTTTGGGGAACATGGTGCCGGCAAGTCCTTGGACCAAGCACAGCCAGGGAGGGGACACCACTTTCCAGATGTGGGACTGTGAGACTCAGAGAGGAGAGGTGACTTGCCCTAGGTACACAACGGGGAAGGCTGCCAGGCTCCCGGTCTGTTTTTCACATAACCCATTTATCCATCCACTCACCCATCCACTACCTCTTCAGCCAGCCAGCCAGCCCTCCAGCCATCCAATTCCCGCCCACCCCACCTGGCCATCCACCCACCAGCCCGATGGTCCACCCGCCCATCCATCTATCCTCCCTCCCTCCCTTTTATCCAAGGGCCAACTGCATTCCAATCTAAGCAGCGGTGGATATTCTCACATATATTACAAACGTGAAGAGTAGCCGTCAAGTTTGCACAGGCTGCCACTACCATGTATTATTATCGATCAATCCCTTGCCCATCATGCTCCTGGTTGTGGCTAAACATAACACAGGAGTAGCGCAGAGGTGACGACATCGGTGAGACCTCACTGATGGGGTCCAGACCAGTTTGAACAGGTCTCAGAACATCCGCCCCCTCCCCCGCCCGTGGGCCCTCAAGGCTGTGGGGAGCCGGGGCTCCGAGGTGACCCCCAGGTCGCCGCGTCTCCCCCCAGTGGAGCCCGAGGTGAAGCTCATCGGCAACATCCACGGCAACGAGGTGGCGGGCCGGGAGATGCTCATCTACCTGGCCCAGTACCTGTGCACCGAGTACCTGCTGGGCAGCCCCCGCATCCAGCGCCTGCTCAACTCCACCCGCATCCACCTGCTGCCCTCCATGAACCCGGACGGCTACGAGGTGGCAGCCGCGGAGGTGAGCGCCCCAGGCCACAGCGACAGGGCTGCTGCCTCTGCCGCCCCCGGTCGCTAGCGTTTGGGAAGGGTCTGTGCGTCACCTCCCCCGCACCCCGTTCTGGGGGACCGGGAGTCAGCAAGTATCAACCTTGGCGAGTCCTGGTTGGACAGAGCAAGACAGACACTGATGATTCTGTGACGTGCACTATGGAGAAAAAGGGTAGTGAAAACGGTACAGAGAGTGAGCCAGCTGGGGTCGGGGCGCTGACCTGCAGGGGGTGGGGAGCGAGCAGCGTATTAGGGTTGAGGGGGCGCTCCAGGCAAGGGGAGCAGCCAGCGCCAGGCCCTGCAGGTGGAGGGCCAGCGAGGGGGCCGGGCGAGAGGGGCCGGTGAGAGGGCAGAGAAGGTCAAAGGCAAACGGGCTCCCAAGTCCATCTCGTAAAGCCAGAGGCGCCTCCACGCCCACCTCGGCTCCGCCCGGCCCGTGGCGCCCTCCGGAGCATCTGACCCCGGGCGGGCTGGCCCGTGGTTTCAGGGTGCCGGCTGACCCCGGGCGGGCTGGCCCGTGGTTTCAGGGTGCCGGCTGACCCCGGGGGTGCTGGCCTGTGGTTTCAGGGTGCCGGCTGACCCCGGGCGGGCTGGCCTGGTTTCAGGGTGCCGGCTGACCCCGGGCGGGCTGGCCCGTGGTTTCGGGGTGCCGGCTGACCCCGGGCGGGCTGGCCCGTGGTTTCAGGGTGCCGGCTACAACGGGTGGACGAGCGGAAGGCAGAACGCCCAGAATCTGGACCTGAACCGCAACTTCCCCGACCTGACCTCCGAGTTCTACCGCCTGGCCTCGTCCCGCGGTGCACGCACGGACCACCTCGCCATACCCCAGCACTATTGGTGGGGTAAGGTAGGAGCCGCCGCCGCGCCCACCCGCAGTCACGCGTCCGTCCCGGGGGCTCAGCCATTCGGGGACCCTCAGGTGCGGACCCCCAGGACAGCAGAGCCTGGCAGTTGAAGCTTTACCCTCTGAGCCTCAGTTTCCTGCCCGTGAAATGGGGATAACTCCTTGCCAGGTGTTGGTGGTGTTCAGGGAGCAGGTATTGAAACCGCCGAGAGCCTGGCAGGTGCTCAGGGACGGGTGCCTGGGGGGCTGCCTGGAGGAAGCGATGTCCCCAGGGCTGGCATTTGCGAAAGCTGGGTGGACGAGGCCTACGAGTCGGGCATCAGCCCGGGGTGGTCAGCGGGCGTGCCCGGGCCTCAAGCCGCCTCCTCTGTTCTGGGCAGGTGGCCCCCGAGACCAAGGCCATCATGAAGTGGATGAGGACCACCCCCTTCGTGCTGTCCGCCAGCCTCCACGGGGGTGACCTGGTGGTGTCCTACCCCTTCGACTTCTCCCAGCACCCCCACGAGGAGAAGATGTTCTCCCCCACTCCCGATGAGAAGGTGAGGGGTGGGTGTGGGGAATGTGGGGGGCTCTGCAGATGCGGGGGAGGTGGGGTGCAGGTGGTGCTCTCGGGGCTGGCCTGGCCTCAATCCTGTTTTGAGCCCAGAGAGTTTCGGAACCATTAAGAGCCTTCTGGGCCCAGCTCCGCAGCCCCCTCCTCCAGGAAGCCCTCCGGCCCAGCTGGAAGCAGCCCCTCCCTCCTCTGGCCGGGCCCCACCTGGCATCAGCGCCCTGACTGAGTGACCTTTCACCCAGCCACCTGGTGTTCTGTCCGAGGGAAGGTGGTTCCGGGAGACGCCAGCAGAGGGCAGTGCTGCAGCGTGCATGGTGCCCGCCAGGCTCCCAGCCACGTCCCTCTCCTGTGGGCCTTGCGGGTGGGGTAGGGTCTGGCTCCCTGAAGTGGGGGTGCAGTGGGATTGCAGTAGGATTTCTGGCCCCCTCGTCACCTGGGCCCTGGGGAGGCCCTCTCTTTCTCATTGAGTCCTGCAGCCAGCACAGGCCTGGGGCCCGCAGGGTGCCAGCGTGTGTGCCCAGAGCTAGTGAGTACTCCCAGCGGTGGCTGGGTGGTCTCCCCCAGGGCCCTGGCCTTGGCCCCCTGGGCTGGGCCAGGCCTGTGTCCCCTGGGCAGCAGGGGCCCTTGGGCGCCAGGCTGAGCATTTCTAATTTCAGAGGCAGATATGCGAAGGGGTTCCCGGGGTGGGGTTCACCTCAACCAGTCCCAGCGGAGTCAGATCCTGAGTGTCTTCCCCACCAGCCACCAGTCGCTGATCAATAACCCTCAGCTCCTCAGCCAGGAACGGCCTCTGTGGAAACCAGGGTCCCAGGAGCGGTGCCAGGGGCGGGAGAGCTGATGTGGGGCTGGCCAGGTGTCCCAAGCCGCCCCCTAGACTTCCACAGAGCCCCCTGAGCGACGGCCAGCACTTCAGGGTGTCTGAGCCTCCGTCGCCCCCCACCCCTGGGTGGGCCTGTTCCCACTCCCGAAGTCCCTGCCCACCCCACCCCCCGGACTCTCCTGGCTGCAGGTGGCTGGGGCTGACCACGGCTCCTGGGTGGCAGGGGCCTCTGGCAGCATGGCGTCCCCGGTCTGCCGACCTTGGTGACTGAGGGGCTGTATTTGGGGCGCTTGGTTTGTGTTCGTGGGACTCTCACCCCTGAGGAACTGGGCCCACCTTTCCCCCAAACCTCAGAGCCAGGAGAGAACCTCGCCCTGGCTGGAGCAGCCCCTGTTCCTGACTCCCCCGCCCACCAGCTCTGCATGGGATGGACGGAGGGCTGAGGCTTGCCTGACAGGGGACTGGAGGGCTCTGCCTGGGGCGGGAGCGCTGGGCAGGGGAGGCCGGCAAGGGTGGGGCCTGCACTGGTGACTCCTGACCACACGCCCCCCGCAGTGTCAGGAAGTGCTTTATAAGCCACGCCCTGCGTGGCCCCCTCCCAGAGGAAGTCCACAGTCTAGCCGGGGTGCAGGACTTCCGAGGTCCCCGGCGTACTGACTACACGCGCTCCGAGCTCGGCCGTCTCCCCCTGGGCCTTTGCAAGTGCTGTGCCCTCTGTGTGGACACCGTCCCCTCTCCTCCCTGGATGGCAGGTGTCCCTTACGAGGCCCCTCAGACAGGCGGCCCCTCCACTGTCCCCAGCATCTGCAAGGCCTCCTGCAGAGCGCTGACTTCCGGTCTCGGCCTGGGGGAACCCCTCTGTGGGTTTTCTTTCCAGATGTTCAAGTTGCTGGCCAGAGCCTATGCCGACGTCCACCCCATGATGATGGACAGGTCGGAGAACAGGTGTGGGGGCAACTTCCTGAAGACGGGCAGCATCATCAACGGGGCCGACTGGTACAGCTTCACGGGAGGTGCGGCCCGGGCCGGAGGGGGTGGGGGGCGTGGGGGGCCGTGCTCGGCGTCTCCTCCAGCAGCTCCGTCCGGACCTTGATTCTGGAACAGTGCAGAGCAGCAGACACTTCCCGGGTGGGGGGAGACTTCTGCTCAGGGACGGGGACTGGGGGCGTCCGCCAGCTTTAGTCCTGGTGACTGTCTCGATGAGGTTTGCGTGTGCAGGTGGCGAGGTCAGGACCTGGGACTTCCATGGCCACGTCTGTCGTGTTTAGTGAACACGTCCGGGTCGCGATTCCACCTGTGACCAGTTCCTTTTTGCCTTTTGGGGGTGACGTAGGGTTGCCTAATGGAGAACAGGCCCCGCAGTTAAGTTTGAATTTCAGAGGAATAATGAAGAATTTCGTAGCACTATATGAGGACGTCCCAGATGCTGCAGGCGATATACTTACCCCAAAACTTCATTCGTCGTTTCTCTGAAACTCGCCTGAACCTGGGCGCCCCTCAGTTTCGTTTGCTGACGCCGGCTGGGTGGAGACGGCTCAGGGCAGGGGTGCGTGTGGCACCCTATGCCGTGAGGGCCCCCTCTGGGCTGGGCCGCGCACTCCGGGCCACCCCTGCCACACTTGCACTTGCTGTTGGTGTCCTGTGGCAGGTGAGGAACGGGGGCTCAGATGAGGGAAGGAGCTGCTCAGGTCCACACTGCAGGCCCGGAGCTGGGGCTCACGCCGCAGGCCTGACCTCTGTCATCCTGCGCGGACAGAGGTGGGGGGAGGGCGGCCCCCTCGGCTCCCGCTCTGAAGCCAGTTCGCCTCTGCTCAGCGGACTTCCCACCCGGCACGGCACGCAGGGGCCTCTCCAGGGTGGGGGGTGACGGGTAAAAGCAACTTGTCTCCGTCACAGAACCCAGGCTCGAGGCTTCCGCGACTCCCAGGGTGGGGCTCCGAGTCTCAGCCACTGCCCATCATCAGGGTCCCCCACAGCCCCATGGCCCAGGGAGAGCATGGGGCCAGCGGCCAGAGCCAGAGGGGCAGAGGGGCGGGACTGCAATGCGTTGTGGACCATGGGCGTGAAGTCAGTGCGGGGCTCAGGGGGCGCTGACTTCGAAGGGCACAGGGTCACCCAGCTGCTCCTGACAGTGCCGCCCACCAGGGCTGCGGGCCTGGCCCAGGGGTGCAGCTTCTGCTGGACAGAAGCCCCAGAGGCAGACGGGGAGAAGTGGGCGGGGCGGCCGTCAGCCCGCTGCTTCAGGGCCTCCCTCTGGCACCCCGCTGGCTGGCCGTCCAGCCTGCTGGGCCGTGTCCTCCTTGGGGACAGAGGCGATGAGACCGTCCGGTAGATGGGCATTATCATCAGCGGTGTCCAGGCTAGGGGAGGGCCTGTAGTTCAGACCCCGGGGACACGTGTGACGGCCACGTGCTGCCAGCTTCTCGCTGGAAGGTGGCTCAGTCCTTACCTGCCGAGGGGCCGCATCGGATGGTAGGTAAAGCCTCTCCCCGGGGCCCCAAACCGCCCGGGTTTGCCGTGCAGCTCCGTCCTCCCATTGCGGGACCTGCGTGCCCTGGGGGGCTCGTCTGCCAGGCGGGCAGCTGCGACGTGGGGGGCGTGGGTGTGGCACGCGCTCAGCCCCCCTCCCCCCGGCCGCAGGCATGTCGGACTTCAACTACCTGCACAGCAACTGCTTCGAGATCACGGTGGAGCTGGGCTGCGTCAAGTTCCCGCCCGAGGAGGCCCTTTACACGCTGTGGCAGCACAACAAGGAGCCGCTCTTGACCTTCGTGGAGATGGTGAGCTTGGGCCTCGCTTGGGCCTTGCTCTGGCCCGGCCAGGGCTGGGGGGAGGGGCGGACTTGGGCGAGGCGACCCCGCCAGCTCAGGGCCCTGGCCAGCGCCGTGCACTCACAGCCGTGGCCCACGCGTTCCCTGGTTGGCCACCCATTCGTTCTCCATCCATCTGAAGCCCCCCCGGCCACTCCTCCTCCCACAGGCCATGCCCTCGGGGTACTGAGGTCCCTACAAGCCACATGTTGGGGCCCCAGGTACAGCAGGTCTCAGCACTTAAAGGGGAGTGCAGGGGCCGGGCTATCCCGGGGAGAACCTGACTCAGCCTCGAAGGCCCCGGGGTGTCTTGGAGGAAGGAGTAGGGGGGGCGATGGGACGAGGAGAGGTCGGGCAGAGGGAGTGGTGTGTGACGGTCCCTGTAGCAGTGGGAATGGGGTGATGGCTGGTGGGGGAGGGGCGGGGCCACTGGATGAGGGGTCACGGCCATCATAGGGCTGAGAGCGCCCAGAAACAGTGGGGTGGGCGGCGAGTGGGGGCCTCGGAGCCCGTGTCTGAGTAACCCCTCACTGGCTTAGAGACCCACGTCTCCCAGGGGGTGGTGACTGAGCAGAGAGTGGGTGCCGGATGCGCTGCTGCCTGTCCCCGCCCTGCCCTGCCCCTCGGCCTCCCAGCGTGGCCCACGGCTGAGGGGTGTTGTGGGTTCTGGATGGGGAAACATGCGTGAGAGGGACGCAGGAAGTCACAAGGGGACATGGCGGTGGTTTCGTAGAAGCCTGTGCTGTTTTTGATTTCAGGCTCTTTTAAGAATCACGCCAACCGCGTATCGGGACGAAGCCGCGGTGCGGAGCAGGCTGTCTGGGAGGAACAGCCTCGCCCGCGGGCGACGGTGCGGGGTCGTGAGTGCACAGCGCTCCACAGTCGGTGCCCCGCACACGTGGCGGCGAACCCTGACACCGTCCTGGGCAGTCGGCCGGCCGCCCCATTTTATAGACAGAAGGGCGCGGTACCGGGGTTGGCAGGGGTGCTGCAGGCTCCCTGGGCCGTGCACGGGCTCCCGTTCCTGGCGCTCCGTGACGCAGCCAGAGGAGGAGACAGACGGTCAGAGACGGACGGGCCTGTCCATTTCCACCCAGCACTGCCCGGAGCTCGAATTCTGATCCGCCTGCCCGAACCGCAGATCAGGAGCCTCCTCCAGGCGCGACCGGGCAGAGCCTCTGGTCAGCGGCTGCAGCAGCGGGAGAAAAGTCAGGACAATAACCGCACGATGTTGGCGTTGGGGCTTTTTCTCTCATGGCTGAGCCGCTGGCCTCTTGCTGCGGGGGGCGCGTCATCATTCACTGGTGGCTCCAGGCCAGAGGCGCTCATTGCATTTTACGGCTGTCTGGTGAAAATGAGTTTTAAGGAGCCTTAAGTGGAGCTGGGATCTGTCGAGGATATTGTTAGTGAAGTCTCGGATGTGAAGATTTACTAGCGGTGCCGTGCTGTGGAAGGCGGGGAGCCCGGGGGCGACCCCCCAGAGCGCCCAGCCTGGCCGTCCGATAAGGATCGAGTCTGTCGGGGCCATTGAGGCCACGTTCACAGTGATCCTGACCAGGCCTTGGGTGGGCGTCTCCATCTCCAGGAGCTGGGAGGGGCGTGTGCACACCGCCTCTCGAGTGCGTGTCCTCGTTCAGGAAGGTGACACCTGAACCCCAGAGCAAGGCCTGAGCGAAACCCCGTGCAAGCTGGTGGGAAGGGAGGCCCTACTGTGTGCCTGACCTCTGCCCTAGGCTCGCGGGGAAAGGGCAGCGGCGATACCACGGTGAAGTGGGAGCTGGGAGGGTGGAAGCCCAGGACCGTGGGACCCCAGAGGGGCCTCTGATGGGCCAGTCATCAGGGAGGGCTTCCTGGAGGAAGAGGAGAGTGAGCCGAGTCTCAGAGCAGGAGAGGAATGGGCCACGGTGAGGGAGCGGACGGGGTGTTGAGGCAGCACTGAGGGGGGGGTGTGGCAGTCTCCCGGGTGACTGGCCTCACCACGCCGACTGTCCCCTCCCACCCAGCCGTCCTGGCCTCGTCTGACGTGACCCGTGGTCCCCAGTCCAGCCCCACAGAGCAGGGGTGGCCTGGCTGTTTTCATGAGAAATGCGAGCGGCATCAGGCAGTCGTGGTGGGGGCTTTCCTTCTGGGACACGCAGCGGCCAAGCCTGACCGCCGGGCGTGTGCAGGGGCGTGGGCACACTCACACTGGGGGAGGGGCCGTGGCACGCTCACACACGGGGGGTCAGGAGCTGCGGGCATGCTCGCACGGGGGGCAGGCCTGCACCCCAGCCCTGGCGCTGTCTGTGCCTGCATCATTCCACGGCAGCACCGGGCAGGCCTGTGACCCCGCTTCCCAGACGGGGTGTCACAGCCAGCACGGACGCCAGGGCCCCAAGGCCTGCCCTGTCCTCTGGTGGCCCAGGGTGCCTTCAGGACCTTGGCTCAGAGGCAGCCCAGCCCCTACCCACGCTGGTTTTGACGGTGGGGCCCCCAGGCACATCTGGTGGGCATGGCCGCGAAGGGGTTTTCTGCTCAGTGCTCATGGCCCGGGAGGTGTCATCAGCCAGGCCGTCGAGCAGGACCGTGGTCACCTGCAAATCGGGACGGGGTCGACTGCCAGAGGGGGGACCCCAGCGATGGGCTCACCGGTCGCTCTCATTTCACAGATGAAGCCGCGGCCCAGAGAGGGGGTGGCTTGCTCGGGACGGCAGGACGCGTGGTGGCTCTGCTGCCTGCGTCACGTCTGTGCCCTCGTCCTTGTCCCAGGTGCATCGGGGCATCAAAGGCATGGTTGTGGACAAATTCGGCAAGCCGGTCCGAAACGCCCGTGTCTCCGTCAAGGGGATCCGCCACGACGTCACCACAGGTGAGCTCCTTCCCGTGCTGGCCGTGGTGGCCGCGGCGTCCACCAGCGCTCACCGTGTCCCCAGGCTCCTCGGGGGACTGGGAGAGGGTGGGATCTGGTCTCCTCGGCGACGTCTCTGCGGCATCTGGCCTGGGGCACAGTGCACCCAGGTCCTGGCTGTCCGTGGTGGTCGACATGTGTCCACAGTCGTCAGGAAGTAACTGTGCTGGGCAGAAGCCACCTTCTCAAAGATGACGGGGCACCGGCTGCAGTCCGTGAGCCAGCTGTTCACATCCTGGAGCTCGTGTCCTGTGCATAGGTGGCCGGCCGGCGTGGGCTCCGGGTGCCTTTGGGGACGTCACAGCCGATTTGGCGGCTCTGACGACACGTGGTGATGTGGCCGCTGGCTCCAGGGGGGGAGGGGCAGCCAGCGTGTGTGCTGGGGGTGGGGGGTGCAGGTGGTGCCTGAGCAGGGCCCTCAGGGGTGGCTGGAGTTGGACAAAGCGAGGCGATGGGGGGCAGCCCACGCCGTGCAGAGGCAGGCATAGATTTGGGGTGTGGCTGTGCCCCGGGCTAGCCCCCCTCTGACTCCCATGACCCGTTGGTCAACGCTGAGCACGAGCCCGGCTCTGGGAATCATTTATTCTACTCGTCCAAAGCCCCAGGTGGCGACTACTGGAGACTGCTGCCCCCAGGGTCCCACATCGTCATCGCGCAAGCACCCGGCTACTCCAGGGTCATCAAGAAAGTCACCATCCCCGCCCGGATGAAGAGGGCCGGCCGTGTGGACTTCATTCTCCAGCCTCTGCCGGCCGGAACCCAGAAGTTCCTCCAGGGGCCGCGGAGAAGCAGCCCCAGCCTCCAGGACCCACTAGAAGGAGCCGGCCCCAGCGGGGAGCCCCTGGGGGCGCGGCGGCAGCCGGAGGCCAGCGGGGGCAAGCCCTGGTGGTGGTCCTACTTCACATCGCTCAGCCAGCACAAGCCGCGCTGGCTCCTCAAGTACTAGGCGCCACCCTCGCCCCCCCCACCCTGTGCTCTGGGCAAGGGGCCCCGCCCGCCTGGGGCCCGGGGCTCCTGGCCCCTGATTTTGTCTTGCAAAGACATCCCGTGAAGCCATCTCCGTTTTATTAAAGTGTTTTTATTCACCTTCTGCCGTGGCGAGAGGCTCTGTGTGCAGGGCACTGCGGGGGGAGAGGGAGGGCCGCCCTGGCCTCGGCCGCCGTGACCTGCAGCCGCACTGGTGGCCACCAGCTCCAACCGTCTGTGCGTGGTCAGATGAGGCAACTGAGGCTCAGCAGGCAGGTGGCACGCCCAGGGTCACCCTGGAGGGGGTGCACACTGAGTGGGAGCCGAACCTCCGGGTCCCGCCGCTGCAGGGCGTGCGTGGAGGTGGGGTGCAGAAGAGAAAGGTGAGGCGCCGGGCCGGGAGGAGTGGGCGACCCACTGGGGGTCACGGCCTCAAGGGCCGAGAGCTGGCAGGAACCTCACGCCTCGTGGCACCACGGGAGGGTCATGCCCGGAGGCTCGCGGGCTCCCTGCGTGGGCCCTGGCTCCAGGAGGAGGGGTGTCCCTTGGCCCCTGAGATGCAGGGTAGCCCTCCCTTCCCCGGGGTGGGGGGGCAGCGGGTCATGGCCTCTAGGTCCTGTCAGTGGACAGAGCTAGAAACAGGTTTCCTTTTCAAGGGCAGATGTAGCTGAGTTCATAGCGGTGGTTCTGATCCAAACTCAGAATGACTCCTGCTCTGAGAACCCGGCTCTCAGCGGTGGGACCGATAGAACTGGTGTTTCTTATAACTGATCCTTTGCTTTATTGATGACACACACACCATCGGTCTCAGAGGACGAGGGCAGCAGCATGGCCCACAGCGTGGTGACCACGCAAGATGTTCCCCCTCCTCCT